TGTAGGGGTGCTTAATACCTTCCCTACATGTAACCGACCCCCGAACCCAATTCTGGTTATCAAGGCCATTATTGGACTTTTAAAAACCTTTTCTTTTTCCAATGTTTTGAGTAAAACATTGGTGGCGACTCCATGAACTCATTTTTCAAAATCATTAATTAAGGATTAGTCTGGTGTCCGGGCATTCCTTAATTGATGAGACTTTTAAAAGGATGTCTAAACCATTAATCGCGAGATCGGAAATTTTCGGGTTGCGACACTCTCCTCACACTAGGTGACATTTAATTAACGCCTAATGTTTGTAGCATTGACAGCAAAACCACGAAAGTCTTAAAAGCAATTAAACTAATGTAAATCAAATTTAAAAATATTTGGTAACATCATTTTTTTAAGAGGAAAATGTCGAGATATAAAACTAAAATTAACAAATTTTTGCAATGATTTAAATGAGAGAAAATTATATTTATAATAAAATTTTGTTTGGTGTTATTTTCTAATTAGAATTAGAAATTTACGCATATAATTAATGTAAACCTCTAATTCTAATAGAAAAACATTATCAATTGAAAAACTATACTTAAATTTTAAATATAATTTAGTAGAATGAAAAAAAATATTATTTTGCTTAAAAAAATTCTAATGACAAATTTGTAGTTAGAACGGCCCGTTTCGAATTCAGAACGGCCCGTTCTGGTTTAACTAGTCATGTGTTATTTTTGAATCTGGAATGGGCCGTTCTGATCCATTCGTCATGTGTTTTTTTTTTCATCTGGAATGACCCGTTCTGATCCATTATTCATGTGTTATTTTTTCATCTGGAATGACCCGTTTTGATTTCAGAACGGTCTGTTCCGAAAAGTGAATAGCAGCTGCGTCAGTGCATCGTAACACGTATTTTTTTTCGGTAATTTTAAAAAAAATAATTTTAGTAAAAAATCCAGAAATTTGGATCCAATTAATAAGGTGTATAATAGTCTATTAATTTAAATATATCTTAAGGATAAAATTCATGGTATATCATGCATCACTTGAAAAAATGGGGTATCAGATACATCACTGAAATTGATATGTTGTTGAAAGAAAACCATACACATTTCTTATGGTTGCGGGTCTTTTCCAACCATTCCTTTATTCGTTATGTTATCTTTAAGATGTACCCGTTTTCTTCAACATCGGTTTGTGTATTTTGGATTAATGTGCCACTTTAATTAGTTGTGATTTTTGGAGATTAATCTGTTTGAAAAAAAAAATCTTATGATAATTAGTTGAAATTAATATGGTCTTGTTAATTAGAAATAGGACTAATAGTTGGAAATGATATTTGTAAGGCCCACCTGAAACAGTGCCAGAAAATGTGTAGTTAAAGCAAAATGTTGATATGTTCTATTTAAAATTCTTGTAAAAAAATGTACTATTTCAAATATTTTATTTATTATTAATTAAAATTTATTAAAAATTTATAGATTTCATTTCTTGACAATTTTTTTTACCTATAATTTTATGCTTTATAATAAATTTTAATCGATAAAAGTGCATGGATTAGAAAAGAGAAATTATTATTTATTTTAAAATAATAAATATTCATAGTCCATATAATCACCATATAACATACATTTAAAATTTTTAATTTACAAAAAGAAAAAATAATAATACATCAGGATTATCTAATAATTTTCCTTTAAAAGAGTGCTTTGCAGGATGAGATAGTACTGGTTATTCTTCCTGCATAAATAACTAATACTAACGCAAATACATTCTTCAAAAAGTGAAAACAAGAATCATTGTGGCATGAGAGCAAGGGCATGCTCAAAGGTTTGGTATCACTCATAGCTGAGTTCTGGTTTGAGTGAGATCAATGGAAGGAAGTGACATATCCAGAGTTGATAGTGCAAGAGGTGGTGGTTCCTCCAACATATGGAGGAACAACAGCATGGACGTTTTCTCAACATCTGAACGTGAAGATGATGAAGAGGCTCTCAAATGGGCAGCTATAGAGAGACTCCCCACGTATCTACGCATTCAGAGAAGCATACTCAACAATGAAGAGGGGAGAGGGAGAGAGGTTGACATCAAGCAACTAGGCCTCACTGAGAGAAAGATTCTTGTGGAGAGGCTTGTGAAGATAGCAGAAGAAGATAATGAAAGGTTCTTGTTGAAACTCAGGGAAAGGATGGACAGGTTAGTTAGAAAATAGAAACTTGTTCTCTTGTTTTTGGTTTCTCACAGGTATCCTACCTCCATCAGATACAATCCTGTTCGAACACTAGATGTGGATACCTTTCCCAGCGGGGATTCGAACATTAGTTTGTTGAAAACCCGGCTTTGCCGGATGATATAACCAAAATAAAGTATATAAACGAGGAATAATCCTTACATGTTTTGTTTTTTTTAAGATGATATCAGAGTCTGATCACATATTCTTAAGATAGTTTACCATGTTGTTGGGGACTAACCTTGTTAAGTGAGGAATAATTCTTACAGGTTTTCTTTCCTTAAGATGGTATCAGAGTCTGATCTTGCATTCTTATGATAGTCTGCCATGTTGTGGGGGAATAACCTTGTTAAGGTCTTGTATATCATTGCAAAAGCAGTTCATGAATGAAGGCACCATTTTTTGTAACACATTTCAAACAAGAGATGAGTTGTTGAGGCTTTCTTTTGAAAAGATCTATTTGGTGGATTAGAAACTATGTGGTGGTTGAGAATTAAGATGCTTGTGGTTTATGACTGCTATGTTGACATGAATTTGCAGAGTTGGGCTTGATATTCCAACAATTGAAGTTAGATTTGAGCATATAAATGTGGAAGCACAAGTTTATGTTGGAGGAAGAGCACTGCCTTCATTGCTGAACTTCTTTGCTAATGTAATAGAGGTAATTCAACATAGCACAGGCTGATTCTACAGTGTTCTTGAATTAATCTTCGATTCTTTGATTATAAAATGATCTCTTCCGTTTGCCAAGGGGTTCTTAAATTATCTTCACATAATTCCAAGTCCAAAGAAACCGTTACATATACTTCAGAATATTAGTGGAATCATAAAGCCTCGAAGGTGAATTCATCACTATTTTTTTATTGTTATTATATATATGTGCGCAAACATGCTTGTACTTATGCATTGTTTTTATTCTAAAAAAGCACCTTTGAACCAGTTGCTTTAGCAGAATGTATTGTTTCCTTGTTCTGATGATGAACTTTTTGCAGAATGACATTGCTTTTGGGACCACCAGGCTCTGGAAAGACCACTTTGCTTTTGGCATTGGCTGGAAAACTTGGTAAAGATTTGAAAGTAAGCAAAACCATCTTTAATAAATTTGAGGGAATAACTAATATAATGCTCTAATTATAATAATTATTGTTTGCATTTGCGTAATTCTCGAATTATAATAACTAATATGATTGGTAATGAAACCTCAGCATTCTGGGAGAGTAACATACAATGGGCATGGCCTTGAAGAGTTTGTGCCACAAAGGACATCAGCATATATAAGTCAACATGATAATCACATTGGAGAAATGACTGTGAGAGAAACACTTGCTTTCTCAGCTAGATGTCAAGGGGTTGGACAGAATTATGGTTTGTTGCTTCATTTTCAGTAATAAAATCATGAGGAAAAAAAAAATTTAAATAAATCTCAACCTTCTTAAATTCTCTTAATCAGAGATTTGAATTTCACTGATTTATAGAGATGTTAGCTGAGCTACTAAGAAGAGAGAAGCAAGCAAAGATTAAACCAGATCCTGATATTGATGCCTATATGAAGGTGAGAAAAATATTTGACAAAATAAGAATTGAACTTTTCTTGAATAAAATGCTGAAAACATAGGATTGTGAAGAATTCAATCACAACTGTGTAGGCTGCAGCACTAGGAAGACAGCGGACACGCGTGGTCACGGATTATATTCTTAAGGTGAAAGTCCAGATTCATCAAATAAAGGAAATAAAGATGACTTGTAAAACAATAACAGGATTTTTTTAATGTTTTCCCTTCTGAAATGTTGTAGATTTTGGGACTCGAAGTGTGTGCTGACATTATGGTAGGAGATGGAATGATAAGAGGTATCTCTGGAGGGCAGAAAAAGAGAGTCACAACAGGTAGTTTCAATTTATCAAGAACAATACAAAATTTGGAACCTATAAAGAGTTTGGTTAATAAAATTTTCTGCGGAATAATGAAGGGGAGATGCTGGTTGGACCTATAAAGGTGTTATTCATGGATGAGATATCAACTGGTTTGGACAGTTCCACAACTTTTCAGATAATCAACTCAATCCGGCAATCAATCCATATTCTGAATGGAACTGCACTTGTGTCTCTGCTACAGCCAGCGCCAGAAACTTATGGACTATTTGATGATATAATACTACTAACAGATGGGCAAATTGTGTACCAAGGACCAAGAGAAAGTGTACTTGAGTTTTTTGAATCAATGGGTTTCAAGTGTCCTGAAAGAAAAGGAGTTGCTGACTTCTTGCAAGAAGTATGAGTGTGATTCACTTGGTGTTGATTTTAAAGCTTAACTTTTCTTGATTTTATTGCTGGAAGGTTAATTTTGTTCATATGGGGGTGCAACAGGTGACATCAAGAAAGGATCAATGGCAGTATTGGGTGCGAAAAGATGAACCTTATAGTTTTGTCACTGTCAAGGATTTTGCTGAAGCATTCCAATTATTTCACATAGGTCAAAAACTTGGAGATGAGCTAGCCATTCCATTTGATAAGTCTAAATGCCATCCAAATGCATTGACCACAAAGAAGTATGGTGTTGGCAAAAGGGAGCTTCTGAGGGCTTGTGCTAGCAGAGAATTTTTGCTTATGAAGAGAAATTCATTTGTCTACATATTCAAAGTCACACAAGTGAGAAACATTCAAACACCAATAGCCCGATTGGATATAAACTTAGAAGAGTTTTTTTAGAACTTCTCTATTGGAGAAAAAAAAACTTTTTTATTTTTAGTAGAGAAGCTCATAAAAACACTTCTAACTTGTATCTAATCAGACTCTTATTATGTTCATATTATCTGATTTGGAACTAGGTTCAAGCATTAACTAGAGTGTTCCAACTTTTATGTATCCTTTTCTTCTTCTTGTACATGTTTTCCTTTTGGATCCTTATGGAAGTCTTGTTCCTCCTTTTCAGCTCATCTATTTAGCTATCATGACTACAACATTATTTCTAAGAACTAGGATGCATCATGATACTGTGGAGGATGGAGGAACTTACATGGGTGCCCTTTTCTTCGCAGTCACCGTGGCGATGTTCAATGGAATATCAGAGCTAAATATGGCCATCATGAAACTTCCTATCTTTTACAAGCAAAGGGACCTTCTTTTCTATCCTTCATGGGCTTATTCTCTTCCACCATGGATTCTCAAAATACCAATAACTCTCATAGAAGTAGCTATTTGGGAAGGCATATCTTACTATGCCATTGGCTTTGATCCAAGTTTTGTAAGGCAAGAAGCCACAACATCACAAGTGATCAATTAAGATACTGGTTTGGTTACTCATTTTGGAATCTAATGAGAGGTTCTATTGGCAGGCTTTTAAAACAGTACTTGATAATCCTGTGCATTAACCAGATGGCATCTTCACTATTTCGGTTGATGGCAGCATTAGGAAGGGATGTTATAGTTGCAAACACCGTTGGAGGATTTGCATTGCTTGTAGTTCTTGTTTTAGGAGGATTTGTGATTTCACGAGGTAAGAAAATGGTAATGTAGCTTCAATGTTGGTTCATCTAATGAACCCTTTTTATGATAAGTTTGTTCTTTGAGGCAGAGAATGTGCACAAATGGTTTGTATGGGGTTACTGGTCCTCACCACTGATGTATGGACAGAATGCTATAGCTGTGAATGAATTTCTTGGTCATAGTTGGAGAAAGGTAACCCTCTTTGTTTCCAATGATGAATATATTTCGTGAGAAACAATGAGCCTTGGAAAGATAAATATATTTAGAAGATGATTTGTTATTGCTGTAGGTTACACCTAACTCAAATGAAACTCTGGGAGTTTTGGTACTGAAAACTCGTGGATTTTTCCCAGAAGCTTATTGGTATTGGATTGGAGTAGGAGCATTAATTGGTTATGTATTTCTGTATAATTTCCTGTTCACATTGGCTTTGCAATATCTAAGTCGTAAGTACTATTTTCATCTATCTTTTAAGATAAGAACTTTACTTGAATCTCTTTTCTGGCCAGACTTAATTTCTGATCATTGGATATGGCTTCTGCAGCATTCAGAAAGGATCAAGCAGGGCTATCCCGTGAGAAATTGCTTGAGAGAAATGCTTCAACAGCTGAAAATTTAACTCAATTAACAAATGGAAAGAGCTCTTCTCGTAAGTCCTTGAGCTCAAGTTATAGAGTATGTTTGGATACAAGTTTAGAAAGACTTTTAATAAGAACTTCTCTACGAGAAAATACGTTTTATTTTAAGTAGAGAAACTCTTAAGAACCCTTCTAGACTATATCCAACGAGGCTCATAGTTTCTCTATTTTTAGCTTTAGCTTTTCGGTATTAAGGCCATAATCTATTGACTGTGATGACAAGTCAGAAACAAAGATGGTAGAAGAAGCAAGCATAACATCCAGGTCTTTTTCTGGAAGTGTTACTGATGATAAAGCTAATATAAGTGGAAGGAGGGGTATGGTTCTCCCTTTTCAACCTCTATCCCTCACTTTTGATGAGATCAAATATTCTGTAGACATGCCACAGGTACTTTACACACTTACTTTTAAGATGTAATCTTTCACTTAATCGTTCTATTTGTATGATTGTATTGAAAATATATTTAAGTGTTTACTTCAACTTTTGGCACCAAATGGTCAAGACAATTGCTATAGCATTGAACTTTGTCTGAATGACCAACATTGCTTCTAGTATTTTCAATCCTTCACTTTGTGAAACCCCAGCAACAGGATATTTCATCAACAGTATTTTCATGATTTTGTGTTTCTCAATATCATTCCCATCTGTCTTCAATCCAACCCTCACAAGGGAAAAATATATAGGGAAAAAGAGTTATAATTGTTCTAAATTTTGACTTTTATATTGATTGTAGGAAATGAAAAGGCAAGGAGTTTTTGAGGACCGTCTAGAACTTTTGAAGGGTGTTAGTGGTGTGTTTAGGCCAGGAGTACTAACAGCTTTGATGGGTGTAAGTGGTGCTGGTAAGACTACTTTAATGGATGTTCTAGCTGGAAGGAAAACTGGTGGATATATTGAAGGAAGCATCACAATATCTGGGTACCCTAAGAGGCAACAAACATTTGCTCGCATCTCAGGATACTGTGAACAATTTGATATCCACTCACCTAATGTTACAGTCTATGAATCTTTGCTATATTCTGCATGGCTTCGGTTACCACGTGAAGTTGATCGCACAACAAGAAAGGTACAATACTCAGTTTTCACCGTTTTATACTTTTATTCATGAATTAAATTACACTAATACTACATGAGGTTTCGTGGTATTGCACACAGATCCCTTATTTCCTTGAGTTTATATTAACTTTCACAGTAACGGTGTAATGTTTTTCAAATAATTAAGAGAGATTATTGTAATGTATACAAAATATTAGTGTAATATTTTTTAAACAATTAAGAGGGTTAGTATAAGGGTAAAAAAAGTAGGAGATGTATATGTGCAATCTCACCAAATCTCAAGAGTGCTTATGTAATTTAGTCTTTATTAATTACTTGCAATGATCTGATACACTTGTTGTGGTAACATTAGGTTTGAGGATATAACTTGTTAACTTCAACTCAATTTTATGAGATGTAGATGTTCATTGAGGAAGTTATGGAGCTTGTAGAGCTTAACTCAATAAGAGAAGCACTTGTTGGATTACCAGGTGAGACTGGACTTTCAACTGAGCAGCGCAAGAGGCTAACAATTGCAGTTGAACTTGTAGCCAACCCATCAATAATCTTCATGGATGAGCCAACCTCAGGCCTTGATGCTAGAGCAGCTGCAATTGTAATGAGAACCGTGAGGAACACTGTGAACACGGGGCGAACCGTGGTTTGCACCATCCACCAGCCAAGTATTGATATATTTGATGCATTCGATGAGGTAAGTACATAGAACCATGTTCTAAGAGTCTGTTTAGATAAATTTCTCCAGAAACACATAGAACAAAAAATATGAAGAGAAAATGAAATAAATTTCTCCTTAAGTTAAAACTAGCTTATGCATGAACTAATTTGTAATTTTTTGAAGAAGCTATTTGATAGAGCTTTTACAAACTAGCGGATAACTCATGAAGAAACTTATTTCATTTTTTGTTTTTTATTTTTTTACTATTAGAAATGCTTCTAAAAAAGTTTATTCAAATAGATCCTAAGTAGTCTTCGCATTGAGGTAAAATTCTGTGTAGGTCTTTTGGGAACTATGTTTCAAAGAATTAAGCATTACATTCTCCACCTTTTCAGCTGTTACTTTTGAAATTGGGAGGAGAGCAGATATATGCTGGTCCATTAGGAAGCCGCTGTTCTCATCTGATTCAGTACTTTGAGGTGAATATCTGGTGTATGAACTTTTTGAATATAAGCTTATAAGCGCTTTTGAGAATTTTTTTACTGAAAATATTTTTATTCCTAGTGGAGAAGTTATCAAAAACGCTTATATCTTATATCCAAACATACTCAAAATAAGATTGAACACATAACAGACAATGCTACTGTGGCATTAGCATATTCACTACACTGCATGATTTGATTACTATAGGCTATTCAAGGAGTACCTAAGATCAAGGATAGTTATAATCCTGCAACCTGGATGTTGGAAGCAGCAGGAACAGAAGCATCTCTTAAGGTCAACTTCACCAATTTGTACAGAAACTCAGAACTCTACAGGTTAGACTCCTAACTCACTAATATTAGTAATCAGCAGTTATTTTGTTTCTTTCCATTTTTCCTTTTGATGTTTCAATCCAAGGCTTCAGATTTCAAAGTTTCAGGATTATGAGAATATAAGATGCACAAATTTCTCAGGTTATGATTTTAATGCAGTAGTGTTTGAAGATTATGATCAGTTAGTGACTGATACTTCCAATTGTTTAGGAGAAACAAACAATTGATCCAAGAGCATAGTATACCTCAGGAAGGTTCAATGGATCTACACTTTGATAGTCAGTATTCACGGACTTTGGTGACACAATGTAAAGCTTGTCTATGGAAACAGAATTTATCATACTGGAGGAACACATCATATACAGCAGTCAGACTCCTATTTACAATACTAATAGCATTGTTATTTGGGATCATATTTTGGGACATTGGCTTAAAAAGGTATGTGTAAAAATACTATAGATTGTGATAAAATAAATAAAATGATGTGAAAATGAAATTTAAAACAAATCTTACTACCTAATAGGCTAATAATACCTTTAATGGAAATAACAGGAGAAAAGAGCAAGATCTTTTCAATGCTATGGGTTCAATGTATGCTGCAGTTACCTTCATTGGAGTACAGAATGGTGCCTCAGTGCAGCCTATAATAGCAGTAGAGAGAACCGTCTTCTACAGAGAGAGAGCTGCAGGAATGTATTCAGCTTTGCCATATGCACTTGCACAGGTAAAATACTAACTTCAATACAAGCAACTCTTTAAAAAGAACAAAATATGTTAATCATTATTTCTCTCAATAGTCTAAGCAACATATTCCTTCTAGCACATGTTCTACTAGTTAAATTCTTTTGAATTTTTAACCACAAAATCATGAGTGAGACAAGTTAAATAAAAAATAAGTTACAAAATTTTGTAATTTTCAATGAATTTCGGTGTGAAAAAATGTATTAAAATGTATATTATTAACCTTTCCTTTTATTTCTCTACCAATTATAATTCAAAACTACAACAAATTTTTTAAAGAAATGATAGTGACACTTATTTTAATATTCCTTTTCTAATAATTTCTTTATTATTAATTAAAAATCACAAGTTTTGGTGGGTCTTATCATTAAATGAGAGAGATTTTTTTTAAATCCATTGAAAATACAATGGCAGTACCAGGATTCAAATTTAAGATTCTATGTATTCTACTCTAGTTCTCTACTATTACATAAGGAGAGAGACTAATTAAATCAGATATGAAACTCAAAATTTATAATTTATAATAAATTTAATCTAATAATGAAGAGTCTCAGCACTCAAAATTTCAATCATGAACTGTAAAAGTTGAAGTCTAACGATTGTATTATATTTGCAGGTTATTATTGAACTTCCCCACATCTTGGTGCAGACACTGATGTATGGTATTATAGTATATGCCATGATGGGATTTGACTGGATCACATCAAAGTTCCTGTGGTATCTTTTCTTCATGTACTTCACTTTCTTATACTACACCTTTTATGGTATGATGACAATGGCCATTACCCCCAACGCACACGTTGCTAGCATATTGTCCAGTGCATTCTATGCAATATGGAGCCTTTTCTCAGGCTTCATCATTCCCTTATCTGTGAGTTACAACCTTGCTTATATCTCTTTGTTGAATGTCACTATAAAATGATATCACATACTAATAGCTAGGTTGAGTTTGCTTCGTTGGTATAATCTTTATCTAATAGAAATTAAATTATGGGTACAATGGTAATGCATCCTCAATGTGAAATTTTGTGCACTATAAAAAAAATATTATTGGTATGACTTTTAAGATAATTATTGTAAAAATCAATAAATTGTTATAAGGTAAATTTTATGGTACCGATTACAATTGAGGGTACCAAAACAGTCCAAAGTTTTTTTTTTTTTTTTAGTTATTTGTTTTTGTTTTTATCTTAATTTAAAGTTTTTTTTTTTAGTTATTTGTTTTTGTTTTTATCTTAATTTAATATTTTTTAATAATTTATCTTTATAAATTTTGTTATATCTTTATATTATTTTTATATTTCTTAATGTTTTATCTTATTATAGCATCTATTATAATTAAATAGTTTAATATTAATATTTTGTTAATATTTTTAAGTTTTTTTTATTTTAATTTTTTGAATTTATAGTATAAATTAGTTTTTTAGCTGTATTATTTATTATTTCTCTTTTTTATTTTAATTTTTTTATAGTATTATTACAATCTTTTATTCTTAATTTTTGCAATTCTGTCACATATAAACAAAATTTGTTTTGAAAATTGATATTTTGAAATTTATGAATTAGTCTTTTTGATTAATTCATGTTATACTAATTTTTAATTTGAAATTTTTGTTATTTAGAATTTATTTTTTAAACTTATTTGTTCACATAATTTGAAGTATTAAAATTCTTTGATTTTTACGGTACAATAGTAACTCCCTTAATACAAATGATAGTTTGTGATTAAATGATAATATAAAATTATTTTGTTGGTAAACAATTTTTTTCTTAAACTATTAGTATAAAATTGTGGGTTTGCTTATGATTTTATTGATTTAAGAAATTGATACGAGGAGTGATAATGACATTTTCTTTAATACTATCTTTTATCATTGATTGAAATTTATATTAGAAATTATAAAAAGAATTTGGCCATACACTTCATTTAAAGAGTTTACTTATTAAATGATAGGATCTACTAAAATTTGTGATTTTGAATCAATAGTAGAGAAAGTATTAAGAAGAGGTTTTAGAGCCGGTATTATTAGTATTTCTTAATTGATATAAAATATACTATGAGTACATCATTCTTGTAGTGTACTAATAATTTTATTTTTTTCCAAGCAAAGGATATGCCTAACATATTTTTCCATTAGGGCATGACATTTTTTTTCTTGTAGTGTGGATGACATGAACTAACTTTGAAAACGAAAACAATTTCAGAGAATACCCATATGGTGGAAGTGGTACTATTGGATTTGCCCTGTTGCATGGACCTTGTATGGATTGGTGGCTTCCCAATATGGAGACAGTAGGGACACACTTGAGAATGGTCAAAGGGTTGAAGAATTTGTGAAGAGTTATTTTGGGTTTGAACATGATTTTCTAGGAGTAGTTGCAATTGTGGTGGCTGGTTTCTCAGTGTTGTTTGCACTTATCTTCGCCTTTGGAATCAAAGTATTTAACTTCCAAAAACGGTGAAATCATCACAATGCTTCTCTTCTAGACCCTAGACCAAGAGCTTCTATACATCGATTTGAAGCATTGTGCCTGTGGTCTCAAATATCACTCAAGATAATTTATATGAAAAATGCTTGGTCATCACGGCTGAACTGAATTTTGCATTTCCTTTGTAAGATTCTTTGATAGTATATACACTGGTCCACTTTGAATCAAAAATATATACATTGGTCCACTCACTTGTACTCAATTTGTATTGACATTTTAGCTTATAAGAAAGATAGTATATACACTTGTCCAAATCCAAATCATAGGTTGCCCCTTCCTTTAAATCAAAGATCTCCAAGGGTATAATTCCTTCTTGCGTCATACAAATTGTTTTTATTTGTTTACTTATGTATAACAGGAATATTGAAGAATAGCTCTCATGCATCTCCACAATCTCCATAGACTGATTCTAATAGTTTGGATATTCATATAAATGCATTTTTTTTTCCATGTTTATGATTCACGTAATATTCGTTATTCATACTAGTGATAAAAAGATGGATAGTTATTATTAGTAAATAAGAGGTTGTTTTGTTTTTCTTATTTAATCTTTTCAATTAAATACAAATAGTTATTTTGTCCAAAAACGATTTTAAAGACTCTTATTTGATGATGATGTTTGTAGTGACTCTTTTAATTTTTTGCCTAATTTAATTTTTTATTTATCATATTTATTTATGAATTAAATCAACATTTATATATTAAATGCAAATAATCATCTAGCACGAAAATACTTTTAGGGGTTATTTTTTAATAGGAACAATTTTATAGATTCTTTTTAACTTTTTATCTAATTTAATTTTTTATTTATCATATTTATTTATGAAATAAATTCTAATATTTTAAAATACATTGTCAATAATTAGAAATAGTCTTTTATCATAATATAAATTATTTATCTTGTTTCTAAAAAGTAATTTATATTTAAAAATCTATTTATGTAAATTTTAAATATAATTTATATATTCAAATATAATACTTATTTGTATATATAATTTATTATATATATATAGGTTTTAGTTATATATAATAAATATTTAGTCTTTTGACAAGTGTCAGTTTAGTGGTTTAATGCTAGGTTCATTGAGAATGGTTAGTATAGTGGGAGTGAGAAATCACGAATAGGAATATTATAAAGACTCTTAGTAAAATCTTCTTCACTTATAGTCCCTCCTCAATATGTTGTTCCTCTGATTATATTACAATCAAATCACACCCAGAGGCGACGTGATCATATTCAAAACCCACAAGATGAACATATAGGTAATGAACCAACAAAAAATGTGCAAGTCATAAATGAACAAGTGATAGAAGAGGTGTCAGAAATAATACCAAGGAGATTTGAAAGGATAAAAAAGCAAGCTATTTCAAGGGATTATGTTGTGTATTTAGTTGAACATGAATGTGAGTTGACCATTGATAAATATTCAATCTCACTTAGATAAGTCATAGAAAGTGACAATTTTGAAAAGTGGTTGAATGCAATGAAAGAGGAGTTGAAATCAATGGATGACAATAAAGTATTGAATCTAGTTAAATTGCTTGAAGCTTCAAAATGAGTTGGTTGTAAATGGGTTTTTAAGACCAAACATGACTCGAAAGGCAATATTGAAAAGTATAAAGTTGGACTCATCACCAAAGGTTTCAACCAAAAAGATGACATTGATTATAAAGAGACTTTTTCTCCAGTTTCTGAGAAGGACTCTTTGAGAATTGTGTTGACATTGGTGGCTCATTATGATTTAGAGTTTCACTAGATGTATGTAAAAATTGACTTTCTAAATGGTGACTTAAAGGAAAAGGTTTATATGAACCAACTCGAAGGCTATATTTCTATAGGAAAGAAAAATGTGTTGTGTAACTTAAAGAAGTTAATATATGGACTAAAACAAGCTTCTAGAAATTGGTATCTTACATTTAATAATACCATTATGTTGTATGGTTTTGTAGAGAACATTGTTGATTGGTGTATCTGTATAAAGGTTGGTGGGAGCATATTTTTAATAAATAGTCTTTATGTTGATGACATTTTGCTTGTTGCTGATGATGTTGCTATGTTACATGATGTAAAGAAATATCTATCTAATAACTTTGAAATAAAAGATATGAGTGAAACATCTTATGTGATAGGAATAAAAATATTCTGTGATAGATCATAAGGATTATTGGGATTGTCTTAGAAAGGATATATAGGGGTGTGCATAGTTTGGTTTTTTAAAAAAACCGCACCAAACTGCACCACACTATTTTAATAAAATAAACTGGTTTATAAATTATGTGAACCACTTTAACAAATCAGTTTAAAACTGAATTACTTTAATAAACAAGTTTATAATCGGTTTAAAACCAGTTTCATAATCAAACCAGTTTTTGAACCGATTTTAAGAAATAAACTAGTTTTAAATAAATTGTTAATATGTTTTAAAAAATATATGGGGCCAAAGAAATATATGGGTCTGCCAGATGATCATAATGAACAAAAGAGCATTCGCAAAGCAACAAAATGTAAGAAACTCCTCCTAAGACATCCTTTGAGCAGCGAGAGATAGAGTGAGTGTGAGAGTTCCGTCTCTGAGTCCGAGCGAGCGAGCCATATTGCTATAATCTAAATATATTAGTAAACCAAACCTTTAAAAAAATAGGTTCAGTTTTTTCGTTTTATTTTAAAAAATTAAATCTGGTTCAGTTTTATTATAATTGGTTCTAGTTTTTTTAAAATGGTTCGGTCTAGTTTTAAATTCAGTTCAGTTTTTTTAATTTTTTTGAACACTCCTAAGGATATATCAGTTAGATGTAAGAGAGATTCAAAATGGAAAAGTGTTATGTAGGGATTGTTCCAATTTAGAAAAGGGATAAGTTTAGTCAAATGTAATGTCCTTGAAATGACTTGGAATGAAAAGAAATGGAGTCTATCCATTATGTATCATTTGTTGGGAGCTTGATGTATGCCCAAACATGTACTTAGCCAAATATTATATTTATCGTAGGAATGTTGGGTTGATATCAAAGTAATCTTGGAATAGATTACTAGAAAGTTGCAAAGAAAGTTCTTAGGTATTTACAAGGTACAAATGATTATGTGCTCACATATAGTAGGTTAAATCATCTTGATGTGGTTGGCTATTCAAATTTAGAATATGCTAAATGCATGGACTCAAAGAAGTCTACATTTGGGTACATATTTCTTTTGACTAGAGGAAAAGTGTCATGGAAAAGTGTAAAACAATCCATGATTGCCACTTCTACCATGGAGGTTGAGTTTGTGGCATGTTTTGGGGCCATAATTCAAGTATTATGGTTGTGGAACTTTACTTTAAGATTTGATATTATTAATGGTATAGTCTGACCATTAAGGATTTATTGTGATAACTTTGTAGTTGTCTTATTCTCTAAGAATGAAAAATATTCCAAAGGAGCAAAATATATAGATTTAAAGTTTTTGCTAGTTAAAGAAATGCAAAAACATAAAGTGTGTCTATTAAGCATATTAGTACAAAAATAATGATAACAAATCTGTTAACTAAAGGCTTATCACCCAAGACATTAATTGGCCATGTTGAAAGGATGAATGTTATGGATAAGTCCTTGTAAATGATGTAGTATGATATGTGTATATATACATTATAGTTATAATGCTCGTATTGTATGATATTTGTGAATCCAATTATAGTTTTTTCTATTTATCTTGTCATTCACATTATAGGGTACATATTATTGTTTTGGTGAAATGATAAAATGTACCTTATAAAGGATAATAAAGACACATGTTATCATTTTAATCAAAGTTGAGTTGAATTGAATGATTTGTGATATATGGAAGGAACCAAGTTGTTAAGATTACTTGCAATTGCCATGATTCAATCATTTTAATTTAATTAAAGATGCTGATTTATAATTTTAACGTACGATGTACACTTCCAATTTAATGTTAAATCTTCAAGTCATCACATGAGCCAAGTGGGAGAATGTTAAATTATTTATTCTAATTATGATTCATGTAACTGGAGAATGACTTTTAGTGAAAAGATATTTAATGTGATGGTTATTTGATTTAAGATATATTAAGAGTCATTGGGATTATTTTTAAGTTATTAAATTTAATTGCCTTCATTCTCACTTCATTAGGGGTAATTTTGGCATTAAAGATAAATAATTTGAAAAAAGAAGTTATGGAGTTAAAGAGTTGGCTTTTCAAAAGGATAACCTTTTTCTCTTTGTTTTGACGAGTTGTTGTTCTTATGAAGGAAATTGTGAGAAATTAAAAAATGCTAAGAACCAATTAAAGGGGTTTTAACACCATCATAGAGACCAAGTAAAAGAAGAAAGAGAAGGGAGAAGAACTACCTATTAGAAAATTCAGAATTGCATAATAAATCTAATTATGTCTTCTAAACTTTCTTATACAAATTATGGAGTATAATAGCAATGAGAAATATGTTATCTAAGGTCCCTAGAGTGTAATTTTTGTGTATGATGAACTCTATATATTAAATTACACATGGTTGTAAAATTTACTAAATAGTGGGATGTTGGAAAAATGGAATGAGCAAAAGGTGAGTTGTGGGCAGTATTTGGTTGCATAATATTCTTCCATGGGTGTTCCATTTTTTTGCTTGCCTCACTAGCATCAATGTGATCTTGGTACTCTTCATCAACATTATTAGAGCCACGAATATTTTGCAACTTTTCCTTAGCCTTTTATGTTGGCCGCTTTCAATCGTTAGGTGTGTCACCTAGGAAAAGAGATTCTATGCACAACAAAATTGTAGGAATAGCTCCAATATACAAAGAGATTCTCCATCCATTATCTTACTTTGCAGTTCCATAGTTTATCAAATTTGCAACTAGGATGCCAATTGTAGTCATCACTGGAAAACCCATGGTAAGTGCTCCTTTAATCTTTGTTATAGCCATTTCAAACAAATATACCAGAAAATTCACCCATATAAATGTTATGACCCAACATTCTTGTTGTTATGGAAGCAAAAAAAGAATCTATCAATGCTGCAATTAGGGATGGCAACGGGGCGGGTCGGGGTACGGGTTTTATGATACTCGTCCCCATCCCCGCGATACAAACTTATTCCCGTACCCGTACCCATCGGGTATGTAATTTTCATCCTCATCCCCGTCCCCGTCGAGTATCGGGTATACCCGTACCCGTACCCGTAATTTTTTTTTTACAAAAAAAATATATAATAATTTTAAATTATTTTTCTATTATATTATAATTATAATTAGATTATTTCTTTATCTCATATTTTAATCAAGAGATTTCTTAATAATTACACAACTATAAATATTTCACATTATAATAAATAATTACACATAATAAAATATTAAATTTTTTAATATAATTAAATCGGGTATGGGTACGGGGCGGGTATGTATATACCCATACCCGTATCCGTACCC